ATTGTAGGAATAAATTTCTGTGGTTTTAAGCCACTAAATTTATGGTAATTTGTCATGGCAGTCACAGCAATCTAATATACCCCCTATCCCATTTTAAAAGGATAGTAAAATTCAATTTCTATATGCAGGCAAAAATTCACTTATGAATAGAATTAAAAAACCCTAAGGAAAATGCTGTGCCATTGAATTCAATTAAACATGTATGTAGTATGTATATAGGTACATATATGTACTCTTTGTTGATTTTCATTCCTTTATTTTTTCTGATATATGCAATTGGGGATTGATACTTTGTAGTGTTTTCAATACACATATGTGTACATATATGTAAATATAACATATGGTGTATGAAAAATTTTGAGGTGCACAAAAAGAGAGCATTGAAACACGAAAGGGAGAGGATTATTAACATAATAGTGAAGAAAATTTCCACACCTGAAATATATCAGTTTTTACATAAAAGGGGTCATCAAGTGTCTGATGCAATGGTCAGAACAGACCCATGCCAAGGTATACTATAGAGAGATTCCAGATCACTGAGGATAAAGAGAATATCATGTAAATTTCCAGAGTAAAATAAAATGTTGCACTCAAAAGATTTTATCAAAAGTTGATAACTAAAAGACAATGTACACTAGATAAAATCTAAAGGGATGTTATTTTCAACTTAAAATCTGATATTGAGCTAAATTATCCATTAAACATTAGGATAGAATAAAAAACATTTTATGATGCCCAAGATGTCAATAGATTTATTTTCCATGCAAGGTTACCCTGAAAACTACTTGAGAATATACTTCATAAAAGCTATAGAGAGCATGTGGGAGAAAAGAACACCAGACACAGAAATCATACCAAGCGTGGGAAGAGTGATATGAAGCAGTTGCCCAGGATGGCAGACTAGGGAGAAGCCAGGGAGACAGCTGTACTCAGAAGGCAACTAAGTCCCGAAGGGAAGAGGCCAATAGACTCTTAGATAAACTTCTTCAGGAAAGTAAAATAACATCGTTCCTGATGCATATAAATATCTTAGGGTGAGACTTAAAAACCGAAGAGGTGTTTGGAGTTGAATTACAAGACATATATAAAAAAAATTAAGCAAACAAATTCAAGCTCATTATTAGCTGCAGGGAAAACAAAAAGTTGTTCAGGAGACAAAGTTATCATAAATGGATGAGCTGTGAATAGAATTTACATAGTCATAATATAGTATCGACACTGCATATTAACAGTAAGCAGAAGGGTGCGGTACAATGAGAGAATAGGAGGATGTGCAGGGCTCAGAAAGGTTAAAGCTCTAGAGAGAAGAAGGTCCTTGCTGTCTGTAGTGGTGCTTTAATGATAATGCCAAAACTAAAAACATAAGAATTAGTAATTCAAGTACATTATTTGAAATATGGTGATAAATAACAAAATCATCAGATAAGAGATTAAAATTTTGCTTCTGAGGAAGCCAAAGAAGTAGGAAAGAGGGCATCATTTTTTGGATTCTACAGGACCACGGAAGTTTTCAGCAGGGGTGTAAATGAATCAGTTTTGTGTTTTAAAGGAGATCATGGCCAGGATACAGCTGATATAGATGGTGTCTTGAATTAAAATAGCACAGTAGACAGAAATGGATGAAAGTGAAAGATGCTCAGAAATCAAGCTACAGCAGTGGTTCTCAGCGTGTGGTCTCTAAATGGTCAGCATCATCAAGAATTTGTTAGAAGTGCAAATTCTCAGGGCTTACCCCAGAAACTCTGAGGCTGGGCCCAGCAATCTGTGCCTTAACAAGCCCACCGGATTATTTTTGATCCATGCTAAGTTTGAGAGCCACCAAGCACTGGGAATCGGTGATTGATTGAAGATTCACGTTGAAGGAGAGGAAGGGAAATGAAGACAAAGTCCAGTTTCTGGCTTGAACAACAAGGCAATAAATTGGAAAATAAAGTTCAAGATAAACAGTATGCCAATACTTTTTAAGTGGAATTATGCCCACAGCCTACAGATAGTGGAGCAGGGACCAGGTTAGTCTTAAGCAGTCTCTGAACAACAGTCTTGTTTCAAAGCCCATGGAAAAGTTGGAGGCTTTACCCTGTTTTCCACACTTGACTTCCCCCATGGTAACTTCCATTGAAAGTCAATTTTTGTCTTATCAACAAATAGCTATGAAGCCAGAATCCTTTACAATTCCTATTCAGATGAGGGTTCTGACATGCTACTGAGATGCCACACAGGGAGGAGTTTAAAGAGGCGGGAGACTGTTAGTGACAAAAGGAAGCAATCTCTGTGAAATTGATCTTCTTTCAACAGTTTGTCATGGACCTTTAAGTATGTCACATAAATCTTTCCTGGCACAGTAATTTTAGCACCAAAGAATGAGAATGAGTGTGAATAAGTAATTTATTTGTTCTAGTGACTAGCCCAAGTTTTACATAACAAATCAGTAAAATAATAATTATTTTTAAAGCCTTTTGCAATAAGGCGCCTCGGAACAGACCACCTCATTCAGGGATTACTGCAAAACCTTCCAAAACCTGGCTTCTCGCCACTTGATCCATCTTGCACACCAACGCCAGGTTAATTCCTTGGAAGCGCCTCAAAGACAACTGACTGAATAGCTCAGTTATTGAGTCTCTTCCCATTCTCTGAACACAATGTTAAAATGGGGAATCAATGTCATATGTCTCAATAGCTGGGGAGTATCCCTTTGTGCAAAATCAGTGGGGAAAATAAGAGAATTTAATTCTTAGCACTTTTCTCTCTTGAAAAAATCTGATGGAACAATGTACAGACTGGATAGCAAAATGCTTTGGGCTTTGTAAATTCATATGCAAGTGTAAGGTGGGAAATGTGTGTCTGAAGGACATGTCTGCCTTCTGTGAACTAGTCAAGCATTTTGCCAGTGTTGAGCAGACAATGCTCGGGCCTGGAGTTCTGGATGCAAAGGGGAGGAGCTGTCTACAGGGAGGACAGTAGATAGAGGTCATGCAGAGTCTCACGGTGCAGAGTGGAGTCATTCCCTTTGGGGTGATCAAGGAGCAGCATGCTAGTGGCTCTCAGGGGACAGTCCATGTAGCTCTGAGGCAGACATGTTTAGGTGGCCACCATCTGGTGCTGTGTCAACTGCCCAGTGGCTCTGTCCGCTGATGAGGGGCAGCGCTCTCTTGAGAGGGGCCTGGCGACCCATCTGTACACCTAGCTCTTCTCACAGCCGGGGTCCCTTTCCAGTCCAGCTCTCTCATCTCAGGCCTGCTAAGCACAGACACATGGAGTTTGCTCCCATCCCTTCAGCTCCGTTCCGCCCCCCACCTCCTCCTTAGTCTGATAAATCTTTTCTTTTTCCTCCTAGTCAAAGGGGTGGAAAGTTCTTGCTCTTATCCCAGATATTTTTGCAACAATTTTATCTATCTTTAAAATTCATTCTCTTTCCTTAAAAGCCCAGGTTTTTGAGACCTAATAGACAGCACATATTCTTTTTCTTCTGCTTCTTGTTAATGATCTTTTTTATTTAGGGGTTGGGAGAAAATAATCTCCACAAAATGATGCTTAAGATTGAGCTGACCCAAGCAATTGGCCCAGACAAATATAGTTTCTTAAATGAGAGGAAAGAAAAACTAGGAGAAAATAATCTCCACAATATGAAGCTTAGGATGGAGCTGACCCATAGGGAATTGTCAATATTCAACCATTTTTACTTATAACATAGCAATTTTATATTGTTTAACATTTTAAAACCTTTTCCTGCTACCACAAAGGTGTATGGAGCAGTATTTACTAAAGCTAAATTCACTGTTTAAAAAGAAAAACAAACACAATGCATCCTGGTGCAAACTAAGACTTTAAAAATTCTTAGTCTAAAAGTGGAGTTCATTAAGGTGGAATTAATTGAAGAACTGTCTAGAAGAAGCGAGCGTTCCTGGTCTCAAAGTTGGGATATGAGCTAATGGGGAAACGGAGGTAGGGCACAGTGGGGACGGGAATGGCTTCAGAGGGGGTGAGTTGTTTAAAAGGTAAATTGATTGAGTAAGAAACAATTTTGTATTAATTGTTATCAAAAGGCGTGTTTAGGCCACCGACAAGGGGATTCTCACCGTCACATTGGGTTCCTGATTCTATTTAAACCTGGCTCCCTTTAGCAAGCACCAGGCTGCAAAGAGAGGGCACTAGACAGAAAGCCAATCCCAGCTCTCACACAACTAGCTGAGAAAGACTGGAAGCCTCTTCAGGCTTTGTAAGTCTGTATTGCCACATCGATTCGGGGGTGGGGAAGCGAAAATAATAACTCCCGCTCTGCCTTTCTTTCTCACAGAGTTATCAGGATTAAATAAAATCGTGTAAAGAGCTATAAAAGATGCAAGTAATTTCTTTAATTATAGCAACTGCTTTGGAAGCCTCATTTAGGCACTGAGTGGCAACATGCGTATCATTTGCTATCACATGCAGAAAACATGAAAATAAAACTCATCTTCAGATGCCCAAGAAATGTCAATAATATTTCAATTATGAGTGATAAAAGAAAGATATCAGCAAAACCTCAAATGATTATCCCAGGCTCTGTCTTGATAAAATTCTTTCTGTTAAAAAATTTATGATGATTTTTGTTTAAAAATTATTTCTCCTTGTCCTCCTCTTCATTTTTCTTTTTCTACTTCCTCCTCCTCCTCTCCTTTCTTCTCCTCCATCTCAATTTGTTGAGCATTAAGTGAAGCCAGAGTCTAGCTTAAATATCTTACATAATTCTTCACATTTACTTATACATTATTCTCTTTTCTGGACTCTTCCCATTCTGTGAGCCAGCCTATTGTGCTGACTATTTACTTCAAGCATAATTTTGTGTAATAAAAGCTTGTGGAAATAATATATTTACTGGGAAGAAAACAGTGTGTTTTAGGCAGTCCATCCATCTTTTTCCCCCTCTCAACTCTCACGTACGCCCTGTGGGTTTCTCTAGTCAATGAGGTTTTCAGGACCCACAACGGCCTCAGTCCAGTTCTGTAAATCTGACTTCCACGCACTTGGGGGAGGCAGGCTTGAGCGCCCAGGCACCGGCCTGGCCACCTTGGTCTGGGTCCCGTCCCCCCCAGCTGTTCGATGGTCCCTCTGGGTGCTCCTGCTGCTGCGAGGTCATCTCTGAAAGCCCAGGACACAACGCTCCCCATGTGCTTTCTCTCACCACCTTACTTAACCTTTCATATTGTGACAGTAACGGTCTCTAGGATGTTGAAGACCCATCTGTGAGGGGCTAATTGATTTCCCTCCATCACTCCATATTTATTTCCTTTTTCCTCGCCTCCAGAAGCAAGCTCTGAACCAAAGGCCAGGGGCAGCAGCTCATGCTGGCAAAATACTGCTTTTATTATTCCTTCCCTGGCAACAACGATTTATCCAGCTTGTCAAGTGATGGAGGACATCGTGACGACCATCTGTTTCCCTCTGTCTGAATCCTTTACTGTAGTTAGACTCCATTTTCAGGAGCACCTCGCTGATGTTGCCTGCATTTTTCTCCATTTGTGTGCTCTGGCTTTGGCAGGCTTTCTCCACTGGGGATGGCATTTTCACTTCCCACTTGTTCATTTGATTAGTGTCCTTCTCGTGCGATTAACTGTTTAGCTTCCAGCAAGCGGTCTCTTGGTTAGCTTTCCTTTAGTCCACAAAAGGACTCCTCGCATCGCGTCCATGCTGACAGCACCTTCCTTCAGAACCATGTTCTGCTGGTTTACACTGTCACCCACTGTCAGCTTCCTCCTATTTTCCTCCCCTGGTCTCAGTTTAGACTCTCATCTCTTCTTGCCCGGAGGACTGAAATGGCTGGTTCTCCTTGTAAACAAGCCTGACCCCCTGCAAACCACAGTTGCCAAGAGACTTTCCTAAAACCCAAGGCTGTGTTCGTGGCACTGCTCTGCTTAAGTCGCACAGGAATTTTCCCACTGGCTCCCACGAAGCCCATCCGCTTTGGTCCTATCTTTTGAAATGCATCCTGTTTTTCTTTCTAGCAGCATATTGCGTATGTCCTTCTATTTTTTTTTTCTCTTCACTCAAAGGCCCTGGCAGTTGTTCCAAATTGGTAGGGGAAGGACATCTGGCAGTATCTGGAGACATCCGCGGTTGTCACAACTGGGGGAAGTACGTGTGCTACTGGCATCTCCTGGGTAGAGGCTGAGGTGCTGATAAACATCCTGCAATGCCCAGGACAGCTGCACATGGCAAAGCATTATCCAGCCAAAATGTCAACAGTGCTCAGCCTGAGAAACCCTGTTCTAGCCAGACCAACTGTTGGAGTTGTCTGAATGCACTGTGTCCTCTTGTGCCTCCAGATCTTCGCCCAATGACCTTTTCTCTCCAGTGCATCCCTCCTCCCACCATTTGTCTGCTCATGTCCAATCATCTTCCAAGGCTCAGCTTCAGCACCCCCTTATTTTGGCTTCCTGACCATTCACAATTCCTGGTCCCCCTCTTCTGAACTTTTAGTCATCCAAAATTTCAAGCAATATGTATTTATAGAGAAAAATACCAGGACCGTGTTAGGCCCTAGAATTAAAATAGCTAGCAAAATCAGCATGATTTGCTACACTTGTAAAGTCAACAACATGGTGAAGGAGAGCACAAGTCATCAAATAAGCACACAGGTAGGTGGGCTGGCCAGCACGGTGTGTGCACGTGCTCCTCCTGTCAGGGGACTCTTGGCCTTTGTATTATTCTTGACCTTTGCTTTGTTCAGGGGTCTTCCCTAGGCATGGTGTTACGGAAGTTGTTTTTGATCATGAGTTCTCTCTTCTTAAAAACCTCTCTTGAACACATAACCAGAATCCCAATTCTTGAGCATTGTGTCCCAAACCATTTCCAATGGACCTTCCCATTTCCGTCACCGTTTCCACCCTCTGCACCCACGAGCCTGTCTATGGCCACAGCTACGTGGTTTTGCATACTTTCCTCACCCCTTGCCCTTTTAAGTTTTCCTTCTTACATCAAGACCCAGCTCATGTGTCGCTTCCTCTTCACCAGGTTCTTAAAACACAGAGTTAATACCTCTGTTTATGGTCCCTCTTAGCCCATGGTACTGATTTGTATCTCATCACTCAGTGAAGAAAAGTGGTGAAAGGCTTAGTTTCGGGAGGCTGACAGATCTGAATTTACTTAATCTTTCTAAGCCTTAATTTGTTCATCAGGATAATAAATAAAAGAGTAATATCTACTGCATAAGTTTCTGAAAATATTAAAAAACAATAATCCATATAAAGTACCCAGCATAGTATTAAGGATTCAATAAATGTTAACGGTTAGTACCGTTTCACACCATATTGTAGAGTCCATAGTTGATTCTGTAGGTCTCTTCTGGACCAACTTCTTTCTCCCTGAGAACAGCAATGGTATTTTGTTCCTCATTGTAGCCAAATAACTAGAAAAGCCTGCACAGTAGAAGATTGTTGCATGTTTGAGTCAAGGATGGGTACCAAACTGCAGTGGTGTCTCCTATAGCAATTTAATACCTGGCGTTAACTGAGCACTTACTAGGCACAACAGCAGGAGTAGACACTTTCACAGATTGCCCTGTTTAATCCTCACCATCGCCCTGTGATATTGGTACTGTTGTTATTAGTTCCCATTTTTCAGAGAACAGGGGACAGAGAGAGATAAGGAACCTGCACGAGGTTTCAGAATTAGCACATGGTGGAACAAATTTAAATGCAGGGAGTTTAAATCATTAGATCTTTACTAAAAAGAAATTAGATAAGTCAATGTTTATTTCAAGGCTCCATTGATGATACAGTAGAGTGAATGCAAAGGAGCTTTTTGTCTGGATGCAGATGCTGTAAGAATACCCACTTATTTTCCAGAGACACCAAAATTACCTCAGGCTCCCTGAAACCACTCCCAGTAAGAATCAGCAGGGCACTGTTTAGTGGGCCTGGGCAGAGTAGGGAGGGGAGCGCAAGGGAGGTATTTATCTTCCAACCCAAACGACACACTTTCAAACAAGGCAACTCGTTTGCCTTCTCACTGTCCAAGATCTTACATAATAATCAATGTGGGAAATACATAAATGCATGCAGAAGAGAGTTAGGAAGATGAGTGCATCGCATCAGGAAGATTGAGAGAAAAAGAGCTTATTCACAAACGAATGAACAATCACGTTGGCGGAGTCCCTAAGGAGGGAGTGGAGATGGGGAAGAGAGGTGTTAATTAGTGGATGAAAGAAGCAGCTTCCACGGCATTTCAGTCACAGGTCGGGTTTTTGGTTTGTTTGGTTTTTTTTTAAACAGGAACCTGTAGAGCATAACTCAGCTGTAAAGAGGACACAGGGAGCTCTTAGGCTGGCTGGACTCCTAGGGCATCTATTTAAATTTTTAATTTCAGCCAAATGAGAATCATTCCTGCAGCAAAGTTAGGTGAGCTACTGAGTTTCACAATTTCCTCTCAAGAGAAAACTGTAATTAATCCTCTGAAAAGTCATCAGGACATAAAACTTGCAGTATGGGGAGCAAATGTTATTACAGCCTTGAACTTTTCCCAAGGATTAATAATTCCATCACTTCGTTTGAAGACACGGGGTTTGAAGTTCTGGGGTCCAGGCCGTGGACTTGAGTTGTAGGTGACACTGATATGACGTAGTCCTGCAGGCCAGCCTGGTGGCTGAATCCCCCAACTGAGGGAGAAAAGACAGGTCAGATTTATCCCCAAACCTATCTAAAAAGTGTAGAAGAGGGGAACCTCAGTGATATGCCTGCTTAACAGGCTGAAGCGTCCCATGACCCTGCTAACTGCCTTTGTTTTTCACTTTTCTGGTTGAGGAGAGTCAAAGTCATAGAGACCCGGAAAACCACATGCAGTGGAAATGATGAGCTCTCAGGAGGCAAGAGTAGAGACTGGCAGAGATGAAAGGGAACTGCATTTGTAAACCACGGGATTACGAATTTGAGAACAACAGTGCCCCAATGGCCTCAATTTAATTGATTTGTAGGGAATAAGGAATGTATTCAAGAGGAGACAAAAGGAAATCACTTGACCCACAAACACTCCAGGAGGAAAAATAAGTAAATTATTTATGGAAGCTATTTAGTTAAAAATACATCCTTTAAATATATTTTATTTTCCATCTACAGTGGGAAGGGATAGTCTCCCAAAGATAAATTGGGGCACTATTCACAGTAAGAGGGCAGCCTTGCTGGGCAGACAAAACAAGCAAATGTGCTTTGCAGAAATTACATATGTTGAACCATATGTATCATTCAATATACAGCATTTGACAAATGAGAAAGAGAAAATCTTACCTTGTATGTACACCATACCTTTAAATAATTAAAATGCAAACATAGCCTTAACATAGGAATTAACTGAACACAGTTTGGTAGTTGGAGTTCTATCACATATATAGAAATTTCTTAACTATTGTTGAAGATGAATGAATTTCTAAGAGATTGCTTCACAGTTTAAATGAACCATGAGTTCTTTATATAACCATATATATTACATATTATTTATTACATATTTAAATTTTACTTTCAAATCACAGTAAGCATATATTATGCATGCAATATATGTAGCATATTTTATATGTAATCATATAATACACCCATAGTATATGATCATATGTAATTCTATAGATTATATCTCATATAATTATATAGCTTTATATGCATTATATAGAATATACATTACATAACATTATACTAGCAAAGCATCAACAATAGAGATTTCTGGTTAACAGAATTCTCTGGTTGACAGGATTTGGGGTAAGAGAGGTTATATTTTTATCACTGGCCAATGAAAGATACGACGGAGAGGTAATTCTTGAATGACCAGAGAGACTGGGAAGGTAAGTTTTGCTCCTTCTTTCTTGATCCCAGTTACACGTGAGAACTTAACCCCTTCCATCTCCATAGCTGTATTTTGCCATGGAAACAACACATTTTAACTCTGAACCCAGGTGTCCTCGGGTAGTTTCAGAGCTCACGGAGACAAGTGCTTTCTCGGGAATACGTTTCTTCCCTTGTAAGTACAAATAAAATGGATGAGCAATCAAAAAGACAGCCAGGGCATGCTTAGCCAGAGTGTACTGGATGAACAGCGTTTATCCAGCGTTTCATCCCCTACATGTTGACAAAATTTACAACATTGCAAATTACAAAA